TTATTTATTTGTCGCTCCAACAAAGATCACAAAGTCAGAGAGATGGCTTTTTTCGGTTTCGCTTTCTCGTGATTCCGTGTGTGCCTCGCACTGAAATGAAAGAGTGTGAAACACAGTCCCACAGTGCTCAGTTTGGTCAGTGCACAGTGGTGGGGCGAGCGCGGTGTTACGTGTGTAGGGCTGTAGGCGCGTCCTCCGTCCACGCTGCGCAGCGCGCAGCGGCTCTCCCGCGACCAGCCCCTCTCGCAGCCGCAGCCGTAGCCGCAGCCCCAACTCTCGCCACTCTTCTATTGTCGGGTAGTGACCAGGGGTGAGGGAGGGGACGGATTGAATGAAGATCCCTCACACCAATGCTTGGAGTGCGGTCATCAACAATGTTTGTTACAAAAATTTCGGCCGCACGCATTTATGCCGGCCGCCCTCACGCCTTGATTTCCGTTCAGTGAGAGGGGAAGTACAGTGCTTATTCACGAAGAGAGAGAGAGAGAGACAGAGCCCGTACCACGCGGAATCGACCCTATCCAGTGCTCAAGTGCTCAAGAGAGGGAGCAACGACGCCCGTTCGCGGCCGATGCATCGTTTCGTTTCGGGCGCCGGTTCGGGCGCCGGGTTGCTCACCTGTACCTGGTGTGCCGTGTGACATGGGGCGCGTGCCGCGGGGCGTGCTGCTCGCCGTGCTGCTCGTGCGCAGTGCCTGCGCGTTTGGCACGCTGCCGGGCAGAGACGACTACCCAACCTTTCTTCACGGCCACTGGAACATCCTCGTGGCGGACGTGGGCACAATCGCAGACGGTGAGGACCTGGCCAACATGCCCGACGACTGCTACGGGCTGGAGATCAGCCAGGAGGAGAAGGGGCACGTCGACTGCTGGGCGCCGCCGCCGCCACAAACGTGGGTGACGACGAGGCACTGGCAGTCGGTCCCCTGTGCCAGCCATGGCGACACACTCAGCGTGACGATGGCCACCAACGACGACGACGCCTCGCACCACCTCTTCTGCAACGTGCTCGCGTACAACAGGACGACCAAGCACCTCACGCGCTGGACCTACTCCAACAGGAGCTCATTCCTGGCGAGCGCCCTCCCGACGCACGCGCAAATGGAGCAGTATTGCTCCGAGCTCATCGCCGCCCCGAGGCCGGTCAACGGCGCCATGTACTCGAACGCGAGCTGCTGGCCAAGCGAGCGCTGCGTGACGGAAGGGTACGTCGCGTACGGACCGAGCCGTTTTGTCTGCGTCGATGGGCCCTGCGGGGCCGAGTCGTGCTAGCAGGCTCGGGAGGAGAGCTCTCGAGCTCAGGCTCTGGTAAGTGATGCTAGCCGGCTGGTAAGTGATGGAGGAGCTGTGTGGCCGGGTGCGTGTTCCTATATATCTTTATTCGATATTGCGCGGTAGTATGTATTTTGTTGGCTATTTGGCTGACCGCACGAAGTGAGGCCTTCGACGTGCGGAGCGGTGCGGCGAGGCCTCCGAGGTGTCCTCCGGTTCGGGCGTTCGGCGCCGCGGTTTTCGCGCTCCCGCTCCAGCGCTCCGCAGCTGTCACGCGTTTGGTCCGTGAAGATACCCCCCCCCCTACCCGACGGACGCGTCCACCAAGCGTCCCACGCGTCCACCCTCCGTCCCATCGAGCTCCCACTCATAATGCGCACATAGCTTGCTGCGGTCCGCGCACGGCCCGCCTCGGGGAAGTCACGCGTCGAGAAAGCTGCAATTGTGCCTCAGCAATTCCGACCGTCGGGGCTCGGGGCGGCACCAGCGCCGGCGCGAGGCCCGACAGCCCCGCCGCGCCGTGCAGTTTCGGCACAGCCAGGTGCAAGAAAACGGTAGACGTCCAGCTGCATGGCGGTCGGGTCTGGAGGTGATGAGTTTTCTTGGGCCGGGTGTTGCGTTAGAGTAAGGTTACGCCGGAGCTGTACTCGTGTGGCTGTGTTTCTCAATTTGTGTGTTCTCGAATGTCGAGATACATTTGTGCTAGGTGATACAGCGCCGCCCGCGGGCGTCGCGGTGTGCGTCACCGCTACCGGTCAGTGCGTGCCACCCACACGACCCAGCGTGCGCGTCGTGCTCGGACTGCTGTGAGTCAGTCTCTGCTCGCGTGGTGTCGGCCGGCGGGGCAACGAGCTATACCATCGTGTCCGCCGGGCGGCGCCGGGGCGCGGGGGGCGTGCGCGCGTGGGCAGTCCAGACCGGGCTGTGTGCACCGGCGTGGGCGTCTGTACTGTATCATAATAAAAGCGCGAAGCCCCCCGTTCCGTCGCAGTCGCTAGTGGCAAGAGCGCACACACCTCTCTGCTCCCACGCCTGGCGCGCACGCCTCAGGACCTCAAGCGCAAAGCCACTCTCAGTGGGTGGCTGTGCGTGCGGCTGCACACGCTACGCCATCCCATGTCTCGACGTGCGCGCCGGATCCTGCTAGTAGATTGCCTTGTTCTGCCTTCGAGTTCGGCCTCATTCATCGGTCGGCGAGTGAGGGTCACATGCCTCCCGGCGCCGCCGCAAGCCTTCCTCCTGGCCTGAAGCATGTTGTGACCCGCCCGGCGCAACGGCTGCCTCGCCGTCGAGGGCACCCTCGGATTCGTCCTCAAAGCTCACCTACAGAGGCCCAACCGCTCCGACTCCACCCAACCGAACGTGAGCTCGCCGCAGCTGGTGGGTGCCCTCACCGGCGTGCTGGTGCTCTCGTCGCCGCGCCCCTCGCGGAAGACGCCGCCGTCCTCGCCCTCGCCCTCCTCGCCCTCGCCGTACTCCTCGCCGTACTCCTCGCCGTACTCCTCGCCGTACTCCTCGCCGTACTCCTCGCCGTCCTTGTCCGCCTCGTCCAGCCTGTCCTCCTCTCCCTCCTCCTCTTGCCCTCGCCACACCTCCCTCGGCATCTCACGCAGCGAACCGCCGCCACCGCCGGCCGTGCCGCGCAGCCGCACCCGCCTAAAGGACATGTGATGGACGTATCATGGGCATGTCGGGCGCGTGTGCGTGCCCCACGCAACCCTAGACGTGCCGGCGCGACCATGCCGAGCGAGAGCTGGAGAAGCCGCGCCGCGCAGAGTGCAGCCCGCCTCCCAGCCCGCCTCCCAGCCCACGGCCGAGCCCGCCGCCGAGCCCACCGCCTCCGAGCCCACCGCCTCCGAGCCCAGCGCCTCCGAGCCCACCGCCTCCGAGCCCACCGTAGGCCATCTCCGCCATCAAATCGCCGCCGCCGCCCATCCCACCCATCCCGCGGCTGTTCTTGAAGAAAAAGTAGAGGAGCGCCGCCCCGAGCATCAGCGGCATCATCACTGAGCGCACCGAGCCGAAGAGGCCGCTCCCTCGCTGCGCCTGCCGCCGGAGCTCCTTCGCTGCCACGAGGCAGCCGCTGTCGAGCGACCTGCGGACGTGGCGTGTGCTGCGGTGAGGGGGCTGGCCTCCGCTCCACTCGCCGGCACTGTGGAGGCCACACCCTTTGCCGATCGCTCCCGACAGCTTCTTGGTGATCCGCCGCGCCTAGCAAGCTTCCGAGCACCTTCAGGCGCCACGCCCCCCTCCCGCCAGCAGCGAGTGGCGTGCCTGGGAGCGGCCGATGCGGCGAGAGACGCGCGAGCCTGTCCACAGGTCGGCCTTGGCTGCCGAGACGGCCACCACCAACACCGCAGTGTTGTCGACCAGCCGCCGGTTGCGCCGGTTGGCCGCCTCAGCCTCTCGGCTCCCCGGACTCCCCTTCTCCACACTGACCTGCGGCCACCACTTCTTGGCGACGCCACGCCCGAGGTCACGAAGCTTGGTCCCTTCTGGCATGGACGAGAGGAGGACCATATAGCAGCGTGTGCCGGAGGTGGCGTTGACCAGGCTGAGGTTTCCGTTGAGCAGCTTGACCGTCTCCGGCTGCAAGAGCCGGTCCGGGTCTGCTACCCACGCACCGTCATCAGGCAGCTCGGGCAGGCGCGCCACGGCCTCAGCCGCACACGAGCCGTCCGACTCGGAGCAGGTCTGGCCCGCGGCGCGCCCGATAATGAGCAGGAGCAGTGGAAATTGAGCTGGAAATGGGAGAGGCAAGCCCATCAGGCACGACCGGCACGACCCTGGGCGGCTTCTTTGGCCAACTTCTACAGATATACTCGAGCAGTGCTATACGAAAGTGTGAACAGGTTGGAGAACAGCTCCTGAGCACGGCGCCACAGGCGCCTGTTGATAGGTCCAGGTGATAGCCCTGGATGGGCAATGCATACGCCTAGTTGGGCCTCAGATCGCCCGACCGCGTCCCGGTGCTCTGTGGTCGGATTTGTGACGCCACCGCACCGCGCCGCGGCCGGGGGCCCGCCGGAGGACGAGGATGGCCGTGGCGGACCGGGACGAGCTCTGAGAGGTAAGGTGTCAGTGAGTATATTGTAGAGACTGACCATGTGCACAATATCTCTCAGTCTAAGCTAAGCCAGGGGAGGCGATGCTGGGGCCGTACATCAGCTTGATGGTGCTTCGCCGGCGTGCGTCCCGGAGCGGTGCCGGACGGGCGGTCCGTGGGAGGAAAACTCAGGACAGTGCCGACGCCGGGTCGCCGCTCTGATTCGACTTTTTACTTCAAACAAAGACAGTCGCACGCGCCGCAGTGCCGGTGCGTGCGACTGTCAGGAGCGGACCCGTCACTTACTTGTGTTCACGCCGGCATCGTGTCCTGACCAACCTGCCCAGACTTTAGGCTTGGACAGTAGGCAGAAGAATTTTACAACCGACCTCCCTCGCACGACACTGGGCACGGGGGACTGGCGTGCCAGTAGGCACAATGTGAATGGCTTCACCGATACCAAAGCCGTCCTCCCACCCATCCCTTGGGTGTCTGTTTTCTTTCTTTCTTTTTACCGCGTTGGTGTCCAGTCCGAGCCACGCACTAAAGAGGCATCTCTCCCTCAGCCGGTGAGAGCGGTGTGCCGGCGTCTGCGGACTTTAATCTTTTATCTCTTCACTCGTCTCTTGCGCTTGACCTTGAGAGGAATCTCTTGGTGCGTGCTCAGTTTTACATCCAACGTGAGAAGCTCTTTGGTATGACTTTAAGGCGATTCAGACACTCACGCCCTGCAGCGTCGGGTCGCTCAACGTCACTCAGACCTCGCCGCCTTCGCGGGCGGCGGCAGCTCGGCCCCGTGAGCGACCAGGTGCTCCTGCAGCTTGACGAGCGCGCGGTAGCGATGTGAGATCTTGTTCTTCTCCGCCTTGTCCATCTCCGCGTACGTCTCGCTATAGCCCTCCGGCTGGAACACCGGATCCCACCCAAAGTCGGTCGGACCGCGCGCCGGCACAATCTGGCCCGGCGTCCGCCCATCAAACGTGATGGGAGTCTGGCCGGGACCGGCGGAGAAGCCGAATATGCACTGTGCGTACGCACTCTTGTCCGGGTACGCTGCGAGCAGGTTGTTGAGACCCTCGTGCCCCGTCTTCTCCAGAAACCACTTGATGTAGGGGCCGGGCAGCCCGCCGAGGGCGTTGAAGCAGAGCGACGTGTCCTCGACAAAGACGGGCCCGCCAACCTGCTCCGCGGCGAGCCTGCACTTCTCGCTGGAAATCTCCTCCGGCTCGCCCTGCAGCTCCGGCAGATCGAGCTTCTGGCTGACGATCCGGACTGGGAGCGCGTCGCCACCGAGGATCGCGCGCACCTCCTCAAGCTTCTTCGCGTTTCCCGTCACGAAAGTGACGACAGGCCGGCTGGCGCTCATGGTCAGGGACGCTAGGGAGCGGTGTGCGAAGCCGAAAAAGAAGAAAATGGGCCCGACGAGGAGATGGATGGAGAGTGGCGTGGTGGGCTACAGCCTGGCGCGCGCACTGGCTCACACAGGGCGAAGTAAGAATTCACCCTAACCTGTGACATCACAGTAAGAAATTACGCGGCGGACACACACTCCTCTCCTTAAATCCTCCCATCCCTGCCTTGGGTTGTCTGCTTTCTTTCTTTCTTTCTTTTCCTTAATTCCCTGTGTGGTGGCGGCGTGTCGTCCTCCCATCCCTCCCTTGCCGTCTCTGTTTTCTTTCTTTGTTTTTGGTCCTCCCATCCCTCCGAATGGTTTTTTGTTTCCTTTCTTTCTATCCTGTGTCGAGCCTGTGTGCTGTGAGAGAGAGTTCTTTTGTTTAAATTCTTTCTATCACGGAAAAGAAAGAAAGAAAACAGACACTGCCCGTAACCCGATACCGATCATCCGGCCCGCTGGGTGCGCTGAGGGAGGGTGTAGAGGATGTAGAGTGTAGAGCGCTGTAGAGCTGTAGAGCTGTAGAGCGCTGTAGAGCTGTAGAGCTCTACATCCGCCGCGTGACGAGGCGCCTGCGTTGTAGAGCGATGTAGAGGCGCTCTACAACGTGAAATCTCTACAACAAACTCTACATCATAAGCGGCGAACGAGGCACGGTCGCTCTCCGACATGAGGCGCGTTGCACTTGCCAGTGCTGCCCTGGCCTTCTGTCTGCCCGCCCAATGGGTGGCAGGTGCCTCTGCTGCTATGGCATGCCTCACGGCTGCGACTGGCCGGCGCCTCGGCGCGTCAGCTCGGCTCGGCGTAGCGATAGTGGCCAGCGCAACTCGCCTGGACTCAACGCTCAGCCAGGAGCTCCCGCACGCGCTGGCGCGAGTCATGGCGCATGCAACGCGTCTGAATGCTCGCCTCGCCTCGCGCAAATGCGACCGTCCTCGCAGCCGACAGTCCACCGCCTGCTAAAGAAGCACAGCGACGAATGCGGCACCGGCGACACATGGCAGGCTGGTCATGACGCAGTTATAGGGTGTTGTGTGCCGTCAGAGTGACTCTCTGTGTGTCAGGGATAGTCAGGGCTGTCCATCAGAGCTTCACTAAGCTCGGAGACACCCCATTAGCGCGGCTCGACCTCTTTGAGTCACTGCCTTCCCGGCGGTTTGGCTGTAGAGCCTCTACAACAAACTCTACAACAAAATCGCGCTCTACATCGCTCTACAACGCAGGCGCCTCGTCACGCGGCGGATGTAGAGCTCTACAGCTCTACAGCGCTCCAGAGCGCTCTACATCTCTACAGCTCTACAGCGCTCTACACTCTACATCCTCTACACCCTCCCTCAGTGGGTGCGCTTCTCAGCTCCCCGGCCCTGGGATGTGAGGTTACCGACTGCACTCCAAGTGCTCCAAGACGACCCAAGGGAGGGATGGGAGGACGGCACGCCGCCACCACACAGGGATTTTAAGGCACGACACGCCGTCCGTGGACAGTTGGTCTTTATACGCTTTTCTCGCCGAGTACTATCTATATTCTTTTTGCG